AAGTAGAACGATAAATAGTATAGATATTTCAAAACGCAATGGAGGAGGCTGAAAAGCCTGTATTAATTTACTTGCGCAACTGCTTTTGCAACACAATGCGGAATTTATTCAAATTTTTTACTGACCCAATAAAATAATAAAAAATAATAAGATTTTCACATTTTTCTATGTTTATTTATAGTAAATTGTATATTATCAATTTGCAGTGTATTTTAACAAAAACATTTCTATAGAAGTCAGGATCTCTTCATTTCATTTTTATATATTTTTTTCTCCGTAAAATCACTTTAATTATATCAAATTATACTAAGAATTTTTTTATGGAATGACGATTTTTGTGTGTAGATGAAAGTTTTTTGCTGTTTTTTTTTATCGTCTTTTTTTCTCCTGAAGATGAAATTTATTACGAAAAAAAAAAACAAAAAAAGGTTAACTTTCATAAACAATGAATTTTTCAAAAACGAAATAAAAGAATCAGATAAGAATTTTTATTTTTTTTCTTTTATTTTTGAAAACTATAATAACTAAAAAAAGTAGATCTCTTTTTTTGTCCTAAATGAAACTGAAATTATTTGAATAGATTCTTTTTATTCGATTTAAAATAAATAAAATAATTTCATTTATTTTACTTTTATCAAAAAAAAATTTTAAAAACAATTAGATTTCACAATATTTACGGAAAAAATTTAATATAAATTTTCAATATTTAAGAAAAAAATCACAAAGAAAATTGTAATTTGAAAAATGGTTTTCGTCGTATGCGTACGGAAGCTGTTCCGTTTGACATGGAATGTAATCGAATAACGAAAAGGCCTCGTAAAACATCTTCTGTAACACAAATTACTACTTTTTTCTAGTCTGAAATGACTATATCACGAGATAATGAGCTACAGACTGAAAAGAAGTGTTACTAGAACATGAAAATCTCCTTAGAATTTCCTGTTAAGCAGTTTTCTTCTTGAAAGCTTGGATTTTCAGACATTAAAAATAATCCTCGACATTGAAAGAATTTACTTACAAAGTTCTTTTTTTAAAGACTAGGTTGTGGAAAGATTGTCCTATTTGTAGTACTTTCTCGTGTATGAGAGACAAAGATCTCTTCAACAATGACGATTCTTTTTTCTTTGTTTATTGTAGTTATTCCTAATATTCCAATTGATGCTCAATGGTCACAGAATGGAACGACCGTTGCTGGAGGGAATGGACCAGGCAATGCCACAAATCAACTCAATTGGCCTCAAGGTTTCTTCGTTGATGATGATCAAACGATGATCATTGGTGACGGGAAGAACCATCGTATCGTCCAATGGAAGATGCGTGATAAGAATGGACAAGTTATAGCTGGTGGAAAGGGCCAAGGCAATCGATTGGATCAATTGGATTGTCCAACTGATGTGCTGATCGACAAAGAGACTTATAGTCTCATTATCTGCGATTCCGAGAATCGACGAGTTGTACAATGGTCTCGTTGCAGTGGCACAACTCAAGGAGAAATCCTCATCGACAACATCGCTTGTTGGGGATTGTTCATGGATCATCACAGATATCTTTATGTCTCTGATACCAGAAAAAATGAAGTAAAACGATATAGAATAGGAGAGAAGAATGGAATTGTCGTGGCTGGTGGAAATGGCAAAGGTAATAGACTTAATCAATTCAACCATCCGACCTACATCTTTGTCGATCAGCAACAAGCTGTCTACGTGTCAGAAGGTCATCGTGTAATGAAATGGAATAAAGATGCAAAAGAAGGCATTGTCGTCGCGGGGGATCAAGATGAAGAAAATGTTCTGACACAATTGTCTGATGCTCAAGGACTGTTCGTCGATATGTTGGGTACCATCTATGTGGCAGATCCGTCGAATCATCGAGTGATGCGTTGGACTAAAGGAGCACAACAGGGTACTGTCATTGTGGATGGAAATGGTGAAGGAGCAAGAGCAAATCAGTTCAAGTGGCCCCTTGATTTATCATTCGATCAAGAAGGCAATCTATATGTCGTCGACGGTGGTTATGAGGGAAATCATCGTGTTCAATTTTTTCCTATTCAATAAATTGCATTCGCAACGAAAACAAAACTTTTTTGATTTCTATTCACGCGCAGGAAGACTCACATCATTCACATGCACCCATCCGATGACATGTGTCAGTGAGGCTGGGCCTCAATCGTGCTGCCACGTACACCAAGACAGTTCCTGGCCGAGCTTTTAGGAACTACTCGGAAGTTCTTCCGAGGGAACTATACTCACGAATGTCTCATAGTGTACTCCTCTCATGCATTCCATCTTCACTATCATGACACTTCTATCACTCTTTGCTTGGTCTATCCCTATTACTCATTCTATCTTAGTAACAAACCAATTTCAGGCCCCTTTCCTTCTATTCTCACGCAAAAAGAAAAAGGGTGTGGGGTGTGGGGTGTAAGTGTGGATGCGGATGTGGGTGTGGGTGTGGGTGGCGAGTGTGGATGTGAGTGGAGTGTGTGGGTATAGGTGTAGGGTGTGTGGGTGTTGGTGTGTGGGTGTTGGTGTGTGAGTGTGGGCGTGGGCGTGGGCGTGGGGTGTGGGTGTGAGTTGAGTGTGGGTGTGGGTCACTGAAGAGGACATTCACACCTACATCCACACCCACCCACACCCACACCCACACACTCACACACTCACACCCACACACTCACACCCACACCCACACTCGCACCCACATCTTCCTAGAGACTGAAAAAAATGAAAATGAAAATTACTAAAATAGTTTGAGTGTATTCACAATTTTTGTATCGTCGCTCACATTAGGTTACTTTTTACATG